TGACCAGCGTCCAGGAGAGCCATAGCAGCTCGTGTGACAAAATAAGGGCTGACTGTGCACAGGGCTCTGGGGTTAAGGTGGAGCAGCCCCAGTTTCCAGGCTCATCCTGCCCAACGTGCCCCTAGCAGAACTGGAGCACAGCAAGTTGGGGCTGTGGATTTCCGGAACACCACTGGACGGGGAGATGGAGATTCGAGGAGTCTGGAAATCTGCCTGATTATGGATTGATCCCCCTGTAGCCCCCAGTGCTGGACCCTCGATGAGACAGCATCCCTGTGCCAAGCTTCAAGTGGACAGTTCTGGGTGTAGGCAGGCCTGTCCCCACCCCCAGACTCTCTGCCCCCAGCCTTCCCCAGGATCTCATCCCTCGGGATCCGGAATCCATCCTTGGTTGTCTCCCAGTCCAGGCTGGGAGTGCTTCCAGGGCCAGAGCCCTCTCTCCTCCTTCCTCCTCTCCCTTCCCTTCCTCCGTCCCTGCCTCCAACCACTAAGCTAGTTCTGAGGACTGAGCTCCTCTTCCTGCACCCCTGACCCCGACACAGGTTGGCACCTGGAGGTCACTCGAGGTGCACCCGCCGGCCACCTGACTGCCTGGAAAAGCTAGGTGCTCGCCCCGTCCTGGCCAAGCCCCCTCAGGGGTCGCAGGTCAACACGTGGCAGAGGACCTCTCCCTGGAGGGAGCTGGGCTGCTGCTGGGGGCAGGGAATGTGGCTTGACTCTGTGCCAGGCAGCCAGGGCTGGCTGGAGTAGGGAGTCAGTCCAGAGGGAAAAGAGCCCAGTTTTTGTAGAGGAGACTGAGCTCCCTGATTCCCTGAAAGGCTGACCTGAGCTGGGGGAGACTGCCCCTCAACTGCCCCTCCTCATGGGGCCTTCTCCCCAGTGAGCCCCAAACCTGCTGCCTTGGTCCCTCACCACACTCCTGCCCTCCCGCCTCCCTCCGTTGCCCAGAGACAGACACAGTGTGCTCAGCATCCTGGCAGCAGCGCGGCCAACTGAACCGTCCAGAGAGCTGGGGCAGCTCCCTCCCGGGGGCTCCCGGCCTCCAGAAACTGCCTCCGCGGAAACCTGCGGCTTGCACATCCCTTCCCCGGACCCTCAGCCGGCCTGTCCCAGGCAACTTTCCCCAGTTCTCTGCCCAGGGCTGCCGGTGGCCCGAAGGCTGGGCAGGTCCAGCTCCTCAGTGGCAGCCTGGGGAGCACTCTCAGCCTGAGTCCTGGCCTTTAATGACAGGGTGCACCCGTCGCCTGCTCCGTCTCCGTTGACCCGCAGGATCTCACTAATTGGATCTGCCACGCAGCGCAGCCAGGGGACCGGGGACCTGGGACCGCAGCCAGGCGGGCAGAGGCGGCCGCAGGGGGCTGCAAACTTCCTCCCGCACCTCCTCAGCCAGGAGCAGAGCCTGGCGGCCCAGGAGCTCTCCTTCCCGGGCCCCCTGCCACTCGCTGCCCAGAGACCCCCCTTGGGCACTGTGCCCCGTGACCCAGGGCACCATGCCCACCCAGAGTCCCCGGCCCAGGCAGTGCCAGCTGCCCGATCGCCTCCCCGCTTCAACTCAGATTCCTGAAGCGGAGAAAAGTCCCCCTGAGCAGCCAGGCTGAGGTCCCCAACTCTGCCACTTAGCCGGCCAGTGTCACCTACCGTAGGAGCCGTCTTGGTCCAGGAGGGCGTCGGGCTCCATGGCCAGCGCGCCCCCAGCCCCTGGCCCCCCCTGGTTTATGCCCCGGGGCCGTCTCCATGGGCGCCCGGGCTTCGCCTTTTGTATTCCATCTGGCGGCTTCTCCGGCGGGATGACGGGGTGTTCCTGCAGCAGGCCCCTCTCCAGCCCTCGCCTTCATACAGCACATTTAAAGTAGCAGTAACCTCTTTCTCCTCCCCCCGCAGCCTGGCTGGAAACATTAGAAGGGACTGAGGCGGCGAGATGTCTAAAATAGGAAGACGCCGGGGACGGCTGGCCTGGCTGCCCGCGACGCTGGCTGCGGGGATCTGGCCCGGCTGTGCAGATGGAAAGGCTCAGAGGTGAGGCGGACACGGGGCTCAACATCTGGAAGCCGGCTCCGGGGGCCCCGGGGCCCTGTGGGAAGAGGGGGAGGCTGACCTGCTCTGGGAGGGGGTGGGGGTCCACTCTGCCCGGCCACCCAGCACCCAAACCCCAGGGGCTTCTCCCAGGCCCCTGCTGGAACCTCCCACTCAAATCTGTTCCCAGACATTTCCTGCAGTGTGGGGGATGCAGTCATTGACTCAGCCATCCATTCAGTTAGTCACTAGATATTTTTTGAGCATCTAGTCCTCGCCAGACGCGGGGCTGGTGCTGGGTCTGCAGGGGAGCCAGGCCCAGCGTCTGGCCCCCTGCAGGGAAAACAGCTCRCAGGGGACAGGTCACTTGCGGAGTCACGGGGGCACAGAGCAGGGGTCTCGCCTGGCTGGGGTGTGAGGTCAAGCCAGGCTCCCTGGAGGAAGGGGGACCTAAGTGGGGTCCCCACAGATGGGTAGCAGCCAGCCAGGGAAGGAAGAGGAGCAGTCACCTGTGCAGTTTTTAAAAGGGGTGGTGCTGAGGGCCCCAGGTCAGCTCTAGGTGGTTGGAGCAGAGGGGACAGGGGTGGAGAGGGCCAGGGCTGAGGAACAAGGCCGGGCAGGTGGGGCAGGGCTGTGGGGACGGTCTTGGTCAGGCATCCCTGAGTGCCACGTAAAAGAGGCAGGTGGCAGGACAGAGCTGGGCTGGGGAGGCTGTGGCCTTGACAAGAAGAGCCATGGAAGGACTGGGTGCCGTTTGTGAAGCACCCACCAGAGGTGACCCGGGTTGGAGAGGTCACCGGCATTGCCTCTTGTGAGCCTCACAGTGGTCCCTTCTAGTAGACAGTGGTCATTGCTTGGACAAGACCATGCAGGTTAGAGAGAAGGACGGACTCGTCCAGGGCCATAAGTAGTGATCSATATCCAGGGCAGAATCACAGCCTTGGAGCTGGGGGTGAGGGGACCACGATGCAGTCATTCATGCCACATCTCCGGGCCTCACAAGCACGCTCAGAAGACAGTCAAGGCCCAAGGGCTTGCAGGGGAGAGAGTTGAGCCCAATCAGGGAAGGCTGCCTGGGAGAGGAGGCGTCTGACCTGGCAGAGAGGGAACAGGTTGAGCAGGGAGGGAAGGCGTGGAGGCCAAGGGGTGGCAGGAGAAAGGCAGGGAGGCCAGAAGGGGACAGTAAGTGGTTGGGAGAACGTCAGGGCTAAAGAGCAGGCAGGGAGCGCCAGCCTGGGGCTGTGGGCTTGTCCCAGGGGCCACATGCCGTCCAGAAGGCCTCTGTGTGGAGAATGACCTCCTTTCCAGTGGATGCCCGGACGTTCCTGCAAGCGCCCCCCCCCCAGCCTTCCGTCTGCACTGCGCTCAGAGCAGGAGAGAACGTTCTGCCCCCWCAGAACGGCTGGACACAGGAGCCAAGCGTCAGTGACCTGCTTTTGGGAGACATGGCTCTGGTGTGGGTGGGGGACATCACGAGGAGGGAGGTGGAGACGGAGATGGGCAGGAGGCTGGCGAGACCTCCTGGAGGGGAGTCCACACAGGGTCCCTCCCAGCTACCCATGGCTGCCCAGYTGCCTCCAGAGGACCAGTGGCTGCTGACGTGGTTGGCCTGGCCACAAGGAAGCTCCTCCTGTCCCCCCAACCCGCCTCCCCCACCTTGGACCACATGGATTCCAGCTCCCAGCCTCCTGCTCCTTTAATTACAGGGAGGCCCGGCCCGAYCCAGGCTGGCTGCAGGCTCCAGGCTCCCCGGCCCTCCTGATCAGGGGCTGTGGGGACAGGCCATATGAAGTGGGAGGCGGCCTAGGAGTGGGGAATCTGCCCTGGGGGCCACCTACCCATGGGTGGGTTCAGGTCCAGTGTGCTCCAGCTCTCCAGGGCCCCCGGGGCCTGGGAGTTCTGGAAACCACATAGACACATGGAGAACTTTCTAGAGTATGGAAGCTGAGAGGAGGAGGCTGAAGCCCTGGGCTTACATCTCAGCTCTGCCACCAAAGTGGGTGACACCGGGTGTTAGTTTCGAAAGCCTCATGAGCGGCTAGAATGGGGCCACTCACAGCCCCAACCTCAGAGGGTTCTTGTGCRGATTAAAGGGGATCATGAGCCTCAAAGGGCTTTGTGCGTGCGTGGCTGGCTGGGTGTGTCTGAAGCACTCAGTCCTGCTCATCCTTATATAAGCTTCTGTAATCACAAGCTTTTTCCCCCACCACAGCCTAGTGAGGGCGGGGCCGGGGGCCGGAGAACACAGGCCCATTTTACAGACAAGGAAGCCGAGGCTCCAACTCCAYCTAAAGGACTCACGACTCAGGGTTAGGCTCAGGCTGCACCCTTCACTCAGCTGCATCCCCAGAACCTGCTGAGAGCAGGAAGTGGGTCTTGGGGAAGGAAGACCTGGGCCCCCATCCTGGCTGGGCCTCCAAGTGGTGGCGTGACCTCCCTGGGCTTCACCTTCTTCACCAGACCAGGAACAGTGGGATTAACCCAGCATCCTCCCACCCATTTCCCTCTTTTTATGACTCAGATATGTTTAGATATGCAAACAGAGCTCCTGCCCTCCAGGGAGGCATTTACAATGAATGTATAWTGCACATCAGGCACCAGGCTCCCTTTCTCTCCCCTGGGGAAAACCACATCAGCACAATCAGACCCCTCTCCTCCTGTTTAGTGGCTACAAAACATTCCATCCTTTGGCTGTGCCATACCTGGATTGAGCCAATCCCCTCCTGATGGACACCTAGGTTGCTGCCCTTTCTTGATGACAATAAGCAATGCTTCAATGATATATATATATATATATATATGTAATACACACACACACACACACACACACACACACACACACACACATATATATATTGTACCTGGGATTGAACTCAGGGTTACATATCTTTAATCCTTTTTATTTTTTTAATTTGGAAACAGGGTTTTGCTAAGTTGCTAAAGCTGGCCTCAAACTTGGCATCCTCCTGCCTCGGCCTCCCACGTCGCTGGGATTACAGTATGCACCACCACGCCCGGCTGCCGTGAGTATCTTGACTGTACCCTGTGCACACCTGTCTAATGATCTCCGTGTGGTAAAACTGTCAATACAAACTTGCTGGGTTTGTCAATACAAAGCACCTGCATTGGTACATCCCCAGCGTGRCTGCAAAAGGCACTCAGGCCCCATCTGGATCTTGTATTCATTTCACCAACAGTTAACAAGTGCTGATTTTGTGCCCAGTCCTGTCCTAGCACCTGGGATGGCCAGCGTCTCTTCTCACATGGATTTATATTCTATCTGGAGGGAGAGGAGYGCTATTTAGAAAATTAAATCTGGGCCCAGGAGAGTAAATTCTGAGCAGTAACTTGACAGGCAAGGTGAATCCAGGGGGCCAGCCTCCAGGGGTGGGCGGAGCCACTGCAAGGGCTCCTCCGGAGTGAGGCTGGCGGGCCAGAGGTCATGTGATGGCCAGAGTGGCTGGGGCTGGGGGATGGGTGGAAGAGTGGCCCAAGAGAAGAGATAAATTCTGGGGTTGCTCCGGGAGGGCCTGTGGGTCAGGGAGGGTGGGGGCCATTGCAGGTAGAAGCAGGGGAGTGACCTGCGGGATCCCCTAGCTGCTGTGTGGAGTGTGGACWCAGGGAGACCAGGTAGGGCACTGCTCCAGCCCTTTGAGGTGCAAGATGCGGGGACCTCCAGCAGGGGCTGGGGCCAGGAGTGGAGAAAAGCACCCAGGTTCTGGACGCGTGGGCAGAGCCAGTACAGCTGACCAGGCAGAACAGAAGCAGGGAAAAGAAATGTGCCCAGAATGGCCCCGAGGCTTCTGGAGCRACCAATAGGCTGGTCTTCAGAGCTGAGGCTGCAGCATCAGAGCTCAGGGAGGCAGTAAGAYGGGAGTCTGCTAAGTGCCCAGCACAACCGGGCATGCGGTCCTGCTGCGTTCCCATCCCACCCGCAGTGGCCTGTCACTCCATGTAATTGAAGGAGCTAAGTGGTCACCAATGGCCACGGGTGGGGGGACAGTAGCCCCGCAGTGGGCATGCAGGAGGCAGGCACCTGCTGGCTGGCTTGCTCAGCGACTCCCTGCTGGGAAGGACACGGCCAGCCAAGTCCTGGGCCGGGCCAAGCCTAAGAGCCAGGCACATAAAGGAGGAACCAAAACCCAGAGATCTAAAAGCGAGCAGAGGGCAAAGCCGGGGTGCGAAGCGGGAGCCCCCAGCTCAGCAGAGTCAAGAAAGCTTTTACAAAGGAAGGACCAGCTGCGTTGGACTGTGAGGGGTGAAGAGGAGTCCCCGCAGATGGCAGCAGGACAGGCACGTGACCCGACTGCATGTGTCCAACAACCTGGGCTGTATGTGCTTTCAAGCTATTTTCTGCTCTGGGTTCTGATTTTCTAGCTAAAGCCTCCTGTACAATGCCAAATGGAGCCTCTGAGGAGCCCACAGCCTCCTGCTGCTCCCCACATTCTGAGCTGGGCAGAGGCTGATGTGGGCCRGCACCGTGTCACCGCTCTGCAGGCTGTCACACAGGTGCTTCAGGCCGGCCCCTGCCCCACACCTCTTGGTGAGTCTCGAGGGTCCTGGGTGGGCTGCTGACTCCCTGCCCTCTCCACCTCCTCTCTTATTATTCCCTACCTCTCCTAGCTTGACTCTAAGAGTTGGGTTTCTCCCAGGGAAGACACGGCAAGAGTTCAGCCATTTGGAGCTTAGGACCTGCCTGGGTCCAAATCCCCAGCTTCCAATTACCTGCTGGGCACATGGCTCCCCTTCTTGGTGCCTCGGTTTCCTCATCTGTAACTGGAGGATACAGATAGGCACTGGAAGTCTGAGAGAAGAATGGAGTCTCTGAGACAGGTAGAACGTAGACTAGGACCTGGGCCAGAAGAGGTGCCCAGTGCTTCTGAATCCGGAAGCCACAGCGTAGCCTGCAAGCCCTCGTGAGCTGCCCCCATCCCATCTCCTCCCACGACTTCCTTTCCCTCTTCCTCCCTCCCACCAGCCACATGCCTCCTTGATTCCCTTCTTTGTTTCCCCTTAGATACTGGGATTGAACCTGGGGGCTGTACCACTGAGCTACACCCCCACCCCCAGCCCTTTTTATTTTTTTATTTTAACACAGGGACTCGCTCTCACTATTTTGCTCAGTCTGGCCTTGAACATGTGATCCTCCTGCCTCAGCCTCCTGAGTTGCTGGGATTAAAGGCCTGGGCCACCAGGCACCACCACACCAMGCCCTGGTTCCTCCTTGTTTTCTTTTGAACTGTCCATGACCAGCACGCCCTCACCCCAGGGTTTCCCGATGTCCTCTGCTTGGAGTGAGGCCTCCCGGCAGCTCTCCCGAAAGCAGCTGTATCCTCAGAACCTAGCACAGCACTTAGCACAGGGGACCCCCCAAAAAACACTTAATGAGGGAAATATTTATGGAATGACTRAGGGTTAGTAATTGTCATCCCCACACATGCCCAAGGAGCGCTTTGAAGGCTTCAGGACATCTCACATGAAGACACCCCCATCTGTCTCACCCTGCATCTTAATGCTCCCCAGCTGCACTAGATTGTCCCTTTTCATGAAGGGCTGGGACTCCAGGACCAGAAAGGGGCCATTTGGCCATGGGCCTGTTCAGCAAGCTTTCACAGAGGTTTGCGGAGCCCCATTTCACAGATGGGAGCTGGGTTTGGCCCTCTCCTCCCCAGTGGGTAACACCCACCCAGTCAAGGAGGCGAGGAGCATGGCAGGGTGCAGGTGGCGGAGAGGTACATGGTGGAAAAGGACCTGTGAGAAGAGACGTCAAGAAGAGGTGTCTACGCACCTGAGACCCTGCTTTACCTCCTGGGTCCCTCGGAGCCACTGTCCTCCTCTAGCCCCTGCATTGGAAGAGGGTCAGCGCTGCTTCCATGGATCCTTCAAAGGCCTCAAAACCCAGGGTTGGTACCTTCCAAGGAGTTCTGAAAGGGCACATGGTTCCCCTTCTTGGTGCCTCGGTTTCCTCATCTGTAACTGGAGGATACAGCCACTCCTTGAGCCAGGTTTGCAGGGCGTGACACGAGGCAGGAGCCCCAGGGAGGCAAAGAGGAGCGGGGCCAGCCATTCCCACATGCACGCGAGGGTAGGGACCTGCGAGGTCCAGCGTCCTCCCGCAGTGTCCTCCCGCAGCGTCCTCCCGGGGAATCCCAATCAGTTGTCCTGAGGARACCAGAGGAGGAAGTGGCAGACCCGCTTTACATGGGGGAGGAAGTGGTAGGAGAAGAGTCCCAAACCTGGGCCGCCAGACACCCTACTTTTGGGGCCAGATTAGAAATCTAATACCTCTGTGGTGCTGTCAGGAGCCTTCAGTAAKTGCCCACCCACCCCCACCCCCACGCCAGCTGATCCCAGGGCCAGCTCTCAACCACAAAGCCCTGTGGCTTCTCTGGCCACACAAATTATCATTAAACAACCTCAAACCTTTCGGGAAAGTTGCGAGCTAGAAAGAAATGCCCGGTATTAGGGGATTTTTAGATTTTCAGGGCTGGGAGGATGGGGATGGTGGTCTGGAGTCCTCAAAGTCCCCCCAAATCATCAAACCATGATGCACTGGGGGGAACATCAAGTCTGAGATGTCCCTGTTGCAAGGTTCAATGGTCCTGCCTTATGTTCCCAGAAGCCCTGGAGACATCCGTGTCCCCAGCCCCCTGCGTCCCTGCAGCAGGAGTCCGGTCAGGAGGTCGGGGCACGGGTGAGACAGGCAGGCGTGGAGGGGGGGGTGTCTTCAGCAGCAGGTAGAGCAGCGCTCTCTGTCCCCTCGTCAAGCCCCCAGAGCCTGGCCTTGGTCATCACCCAAGAGCAACTGGAGAGTTCATCAGTGTCCTCTGACATCCTTGACCCCACTCTGCTCGCTTACCTCCGGGGACAGGCCCCGGGAACTCCCTCCCTCCCAGGCAATCCTCCGGGAGACAAACCATGGGGTTGGGCGGGCCCTGGCTTTGCCGTCTGTGGCCAGGCAGAGTGACTCTGCCCTGGGGAAGCCCCTGCAGTCATCAGATCCCCCGACATGAGCTCAGCTCTCTGCACTTCACCTGACYTCCTTGCTCCCCATGGTTTCTTGGCTAGTGTTCAGGTTTGGCAAGTCCAGAAAAACCTCAAGGAGCCTGGAAATTGACATGGCAATGGCAGCAGCCCATGCAATCTGGGAAACTTTAGCCAGGAAACCCAGAAACTAGTGAGCCAGAGAACAACCCATAATCATGTCCCCTCAGATTGGGGGTGGGGGACACGCGCCTGGGGGAGGGCTAATTTTCCAGCGGCAGCAGAGAGAGCATTCGGGTGGATGGACTCAAGAGAGCAAAGGCCCAGCTGGTCAGACCACAGAGCTGGCCCAGTGGCTCAGAACAGAGAGGCCGTAGAGTTGGCCAGCTTTCTGGAAAGGATCAGGGAGTAGACACTTTAGGCTTTGTGGGCCATGCCATCAYGGTTGCAAGCACTCAAACACGGTTAGTGGAAAGCGCCATAGACAACCCACAAAGGAATGAGCACAGCTGCGTACCAATAAAACTTTTATTTGTTGATGCCCAAATTGGAATTTCATAGTTTCTTCTTGTGTCACAAATAATATTCTTCTTTTGATCCCCCACCCCTAACCATTTAAAACTGTAAAAATCATTCTTAGCCCACAGGTGTTCCAAGAACAGGCAACAGAGCACAGCCCAGCTGGTTATGTGCCGGGATAATGGGAGATGGTGCCGGGGCACTGGAATTCTCCAGTAAGGTTTTCAGGGCGATATGGTCAGGGGCTGGCAGCAGGTGCCGTACTTACGGCCCCGGGATGATGAATCGCTTAATTCATCAACTTGCCTTCCTTCTAACCTGTCTGCCAATCACGCCATTGCTAGCCGTTAAGAAGCTAGGAAAATGTGTATTTAGATCAATGTCTTTCACATATATTGGGAAATTTTCTTTTAAAATGTAATTACAGAAGAGTATCAGCTTATCATTAAAGACAAGTCAATGAAGAAGTAAATAGATGAATCAGGGGAAATTTGTTTTCAAATCCAACTCCCCACCCTGGGGTGATCACCCAGGGGTTGGGTGGATGAGGGTGAATCCAGGCCTTTCTAATGCCCATGGACATGAACTCCATCCAGAGGCTTCATTATTTACACTAACGGTGGCTCATCCTGGACGAGTGTTTAATGACATGATTTTCACTTAGCATCTTAACCGGTATCTTCCCTCTCGGCTCGTGGATCCATCCTCTGATTTTTTGTGTGGTCCATCGGGCTCTAGGCTGTGCCACATGCACCCAGACGGCCGCCTATCGCTGGGCATCCAGGCTGGGTCCTGTTTTATGTGATTACACACGAAGCCGTCACGATCCACCCCCAACCTGCACACAGCTCTATCTTTGTATGCCAGGGCTAGTCTTTTTTTTTTTTTTTTTTTATCAGAAAAGATTCTCTGAAGCATAATTGTTGAATCAAAGGGCAGGACAACTTGAAATCAGGGTCCATGTGGCATATGGGAGCAGTTTCCTGCGCTGCTAGGAACAGGCACTGCAAATCCCCTGGGGCCTGGGGAAATCCTACCCTGCCTGTCGACTCAGGAACCTTCGTGCCTGACTGTCCTGGATGACTCCGGGGCTCAGGCGTCTTCAGAGTGGACTGACCTGCCTCCCCCTGCAGATTCAGGCAGGATACCCACCCGGTGGAGACCCTTGGGGAGAATCAGTGCCTTGTCCATTTATCCAACCATCCATCCATGTCTTCAGCAAGTCTTTATTGAGCACCGATTCCCACTTGAGTCCTCAGGCTACATCCATGAGCCCATYCAGGCTCTTGCTGTTCCAGTCTCCGCCGTCTGGTGGAAGTGCAAGCATTTAGTGATTACTTACCGAGGGTCTATTATGCACTGCTGTAGGCACTGAGACTACAGCGGTGATCATAGAAGAAGAAAGTCCCTGTCCTTCCAGACTTACAGTCGAGTGGAGGACGCAGATATTGAACATAAACAAATACGACAGACATGAGCCATCTAGTAAGGAAGGCAGGAAGTACTGGGGAGTCATTTTGTATGAAGATTGGCCAGGAGAGACCTCTCTGGGCAGAGGTCAGAAGGCATGTGAGAGGGAGCTGTGCAGATGTAGAGAAAAGTATCMAAGGCAGATGGAACGGCCAGTGCAAAGGCCCAGAGGTCACCAGGGGCATGAAGGAGAGTGTGTCAGCTACCGAGGGTCTTGTAGGTAGAGAAGAGCTCGACTATTACTCCACGTGAGGTGGGGGCCTGCAGGAGGCCTGGGGCAGAGGAGAAGGTTGACTGTTTAATTGGGAATAGAYTCCAGGGGACCAGGGTTGATTCAGGGAGACCAGTCAGGAGGAGGCTGCACCTTGACCCCAACAAGAGATATTGGACCAGGTTGGACAGGCAGAGGCAGTGAGAAGGGATGGGAGTCTGGGGGGGCACTTTGAAGGTAGTCACAGGCTTTCCCGATGGATGGGATGGGGTGGAAAAAAGGGGGGGAAGAACCACACTGCAGTTTTGGTTCATGGACCAAGAGGRTGGAGTCTACGGAGAGGCAGTGGGGAGGGCTTGAATTGTGAGCCTGATTTGCACGTGGTAAGGTGGAGCCGCCCACTGGACAGCAAGTAGGGAGGCAGGTAGAGACTCCATCCTGCAGTTGGGGCAGGTTAATGCTGGGGAGACTGGAATTCCAGGGCTGCCAGCAGATGGAATTGCAGGCCATGTGCCTGGAGGTCAGCACCAGGGGAGAGAGAGGATGGGAGGCTGATGTTAAAGGGCGGGAGGTGAGGCAGAACTGGCATTGAGAACCGAGTAGCCAGGGAGCAGGAAGACAGCGTACAGCACTGTGACCTGGAAGCCGGGGAAGAGGGAGTTCAGCAAGGAGGCCAAGACCAGCTGGGCCAAGAAGCTGAGCCGCCGCGGAGGGAGGACTACACGCTGACCACTGGGTTTGCTGCAAGAAACCGTGGAGGCCTAAAGGAGGGGTGTCTCAGCAGAAACCTGAGGGGTGCATACCTGATTCCAGGGTGAAAAGGGGAGGCCCTGGGTGAGGGGACAGCTTAGACAAGTCAGCAGGGAYGGCCACCACTGCTTATTTGGGGATCTAAAGTAGATGGTCTGGCTTTACAGTGGGGAAGGGGCACAGGAGAGAGGAGGTGGGGTGGGA